CTCTCAGAAGCCATTTACCAAGGCATATTAGGATCCTGAACTAGGTCCAGGCATCAGCCTTAACGAGCAGGTTGCATGAGGTTGTGCTGAGGCACCACAAGGGCACTTCTGCGGGCTGTCCCAGTCAACACAGGTGCCGATCCTCAGCCATTTCCCCGGAAATGTGCTCAACATTGCACTACAAAGAAGGATGCTTGCTGCTTCTAAGACACTTCTGCTCCTTGCAGGCCAAGGGTGGTTCTTCTCATGTGAGCTTGCTGGTAGTAACAAGAACCACGTCTAGCACTATACTTTCCAAGACATCCAAACCGGCAGAAATCACGGACCCTGAGCTAGTCACGGCCTTCACCGTGATTCTGCGAGTCATGACGAAGGCGCCGGAGGGCTCAATTACCGGATGTCGCAGGTCTGTAGCATCAAATGCCTGCACGGAGTCTTACATATCTTGGAGCTAAGGGTAGCAGAGCAGCACGGCTGCATTCAGCACTGAATGCAGCCAGACAGACTGGAAGACAAGATTCGCTCAAGCTTTATCTAAGTGATCAGATCTGGTTAGGTTTCGGACTAGCTATTCGGTCATTGCGTTGACCGCCGAACCGCCCACTCAAGTGCCGCCGAGTGATTAAGGTCTGGCGTGAGATTAAAGACGCATGCCAGATACCAAGCATCAAGTAAACTGAAACATGGTGGCCAAAAACGGAGAACAGCAGTTGTCAGCATCACGGGCAAATAAGGTCTCAGTTTGCTGTGTTGCAGCTGCAACATCATTAATAGTTTGAATGAGCCGTGGCCGCGGTTTCAAGGCGGCTACCGGAGAAGACCTGCGGCTGCAGCGGGGAGGGTAGTGCTGCAAGCAGATTCATAAGGCAGACCAGTTGATGTGCTGCGGGACCTGACTGGTGAAATTGACGCTTGTAATCAAAGCAGCCGAGCATGTTTCTCGTGGGCGGAGAAGTTGATCATCCCCGTTGCGCGGATCCTGTCCAAAAACCTTCTGTTGCTGCACCCCTCCGCCACTGAACCATCTTGGGGACGCTGCTTTTTGAGGGGCACGAGGCTTGAAACCTGACTGCTAATCTGATCCAAGGCGGGCTAGAGGATTAGAAGGCAATACAAGCACGATAGCGACTGGGAAATCAAGGTTATTTTGCGTGATGTGCGGGTGCAGCTAAGCATGTACAAGCTCCAACCAAGCGCATCGTCCTGCCTTTTGCGAGCCCAGGGGCTAAGGCGGCGTTTCGCGCTGTTATGCTAGCTTCACACGGTTTAGGGCTTAGCGATTATTAGCCAATACTAGCGGTCATGCACTTGTTTCGGATGATGAGAATCGTTCACGGCCTTGCCATCTTGGCTGAAGGTTTTGGCTTCGAATTTGGTAATGACCGCACCAAAGCCAGGCTCCTGCAGGTGCATTGTCTGTAAGGAGCCATCTGCTCTACCAACCCCGAGTTCCTGGAAAGTGTGTCGGCCCTCGATGTGGAAAACAACGATTTGGATATAGAGAACGACCTGCAGCACCAGACGAAAAAGCATAAGAAGTACCGGTGCAGAAGAACCACTGACAAGCAAAGCATCCTTGGCCAATCTTTCGTGCCAAACCTTTTCATGCAAAGCAAATGCAGACACGCGGCTAAGGTGACAATACCCCAATAGAGGTAGCCCAAATTTGCATCCTGGATTCGCACAACCTCAGATCGGGCCAGCGGGCCGAGACTTGTTCATCCTAGTTCTCAATCCTCACTGCAATTGACAGGAAGAGAAGACACACTTAGCAAAGAGGCTCTGTTGGTGTGGTAAGCACCTCAGGTGCCACGTTCATTTCACTGTGCAGTCGGAAACTCAAGTAGCTGGCCTTAGGTTTCGGAATTCAGTCTAGCCTCAAATTTTGTTCCAATCCCAAGCTGTGCTCCTGTGCGTGCTGCGTACTTTCAACAGATCCTTGCAAACCTGGATTTTCAGTCCCAGGGCTGCCTGCTTTGAGAGGATCGCGGACCTTCATCGTCCTGGCAGTTAGCTGGAGCCATCTCAAAGCAGTCAGAGGCATGAGCCACGAGCCGTGTCACCTCGTCTACCACACGCTGCAACTCGGTGCCAGCCATTGCAAGCTCTCATTCCATGGTCTCGTCACCGTTTAGCAACTTTTAGGCAACCCCTTCATAAACACCCCAACGCCAAAAAGAGGCTTCTGTGGCACCGGGCCTTGCTCTACAAAAAACTAGAACTAAAAGAAACTACTGCAAATATGCAGCAGAGCTGAGGGAGCATACAGGCAGCAAAAAACACGCTCGGCTCTCTAAGGAAGCCACATGCATCAGAGACCAACAAACTACGATCGATCGGATTGTCCGGCTGGGGGCCAGAAGGATGCAGCGAAAACACCCAAGAATCTCCAAGAAACAAATGGAAATGCATCGCTACCAAAAGGAACGTAGCTGTGTGCGACAAACCACTGGCCCAGGCTTCGGGCAAGTTTGGCAGCTGTGAGTAGTTGGCCACCAGCGTAGTCTGAGTATGCACAACACCTCTACTTTGATCTTGGTCTCATCATGCCATCAACGTCAACATGACACTGGAGTCCCTGCACTGCACCATGCATGAAAGGCCTTCTGAATTTGCTGAGCCCAAAACGTCAGCCATGAAAACTCGACTGAGGTCAACAATGATCTGTGACAGGCAGTGCAGCTCGAGCTTCATGCCCTGCAGAGGCGTGCGCAGCTTGAGCAAGGAAGCTTATGAAATCTGCACAGAATCCACTGCAAAGACCTCACGCGATCGAAATGCAGCATGCCAAAGGACAATGGCAGTTGTACAAGATGAAACAAGCATTGTATAAACGAAAGTCTGATCTTGGCCTAATCAGCCTATGCCTTCCTAGCAACTAGAACATAGAACATGACAACTTGGACGCTTCATTGCAGCAGCCAGGAGCATGCGATATCTGCCTTGGCATGTAGAAAGGAGAAGTGTGCACTAGGCTTCAGGTGACCCATTTTCAGGGGCGGCCTCAGGGCCACGTAGACGTGCTCTGGAGGGATTTGTACCAGGGCCAGTCCCGGGCAGGGTGAACGCCAGGATCGTGGAGCTCTGCCTGGCAGCACTAAAACGGCACAAACTCAAGACTGTTCATGGAGGCTATTTGCAGTAGTCTGTTTCGCACCTGCTCTGGTCCCTTGCTTTGGGAAGAGGAGAATTCCGCCACTACATGCTTGATGTTGCTAGCTCTCACATCCCGATGCCTTGCTCTTCTTTTATCTTTCATTTGGACTGTTTTCTGGCCTCTATAATCCTTTATAGCGGCCCAATGGTGGCCCAAAATCGAAGAACACTGGGTATTTTCTCATTTTGTTGACAGCCTCGTTTGGTTTAGCTGGGCAAGAAGTTCAGAATCTTGATGAGGCTTCACAAGGCACGCGGGAACATGGCAAAATTTCGATGATCCTTCCTCTTCTAGTTCTTTGTTCCCAAGAACTTTCCTCTGGCTTTTCCATGAAAGAAGATCGGATTTTTGGTGGAACAAAACTGCCGGACATGTGTAGTGTAGATGCCACGTAGACACGCAAGTTGAGATCCTACTGAGAACATTCGCGAACAAGCATCCCACAGGCATACTCTTGTAGATTGTCACACCAAGATTCTTGGGGAGTTTGCGGGCCAGGAATGGGCATGGCAGAACCACCATAACCCCAAATCCTTGGATTCTCCTTCGGATGAAATTCTGCGGGTCACCCAAGATCCAAACCGTTTCATAATCTTGCACAGGAAGATCTATGCCTTTCGCAAGGCCTCATCGCCAAAGGCACTCGACGTTGAAGCAATGATGCATGCTCTGTTTAGCTTCGATCTTCCGATGCATTCTACAGTGCCTCAAGTGGTAGCTGAAGCCTATTGTGTGTCCTGAAGTTTCATACGGACATATACATGGACTCCTCGAGTTTGTAGAACTGCACAGCAGGTTTCATTTCTGCTGACAACAAGTGAAACTGGTCCACGGCCCTGGGCTCACTTGAGCCATGCAATTTTGGGCCATGCTTGTTCGACCCCTGACCATGAGTGGGTTTGGTTTTTCTGGCCCTGTTAAACCCAAAATGTGGTTGAGGCTGGGGCTAAAGCCTTCAGCTGGTCTTGTCTGGCAGGTCTTCAGGACTTTTTTTGTGGGGAGCACGCGTTTTTTCCGAGCCTTGCGTCTGCTCGGGGATGTCTGGCTGCAACTCGGTAGGAAGGAAACGGGGACCCAACACACGCCGGCAAAAAAGCACAAAGCAAAATCATGCGTTTGGAAATTGTCTTGGTGGGCCTGCAGCAAGGGAACAAAAAGCAAGGGGCAGTGTCCAGAGTTGCACACAGCTGAACATTGTCTCCATCATGCTGTCATCAAGCGCACACTTGCAGCAGCCCCATCGCCCCATCTTCACATCAACAGCGCCAGCGTTGTGGAACTCGACAATGTTGAGAGAAGACTTGTCTCTGGAATCCCTTACGCCCGCTGGATGTCTAGCCGTGCAGAACTTACTAGCTCGATCTGAATCTGCGATTGCTGCCCGTTTTTAGGCACGATATAGTCCGTTTCACCCCTTTTTCATTCAATATATTTACGCCGCCATGCTCTCATGATCTCTCATGCTCATACGAGTTGAGATATGCATGCAGCACTGCTATTGTGATAACGACGCCATCGAGGGCTCTTGTGCGGTTTTGCTGTCCAGAGGCCCGAAGTTGATCTTTATCCCGATTATACGCATGCTGTCCAGAGGCCACGAATGAACATCTCAGGTTATCGATCCATATTAATGCTTGCTTCCTTCATCGCTGGCGGGCAGCTGAAGACACAAGCCTGCTTCGTTCCATGGAGCTAGACAACTAGGGCAGGAGAAAATTTAAGGAATGAACTCACATTGTATACGTCAGAACAAACATGTCCTTTCAGGCCGCTTTTGCAGAGCTGGTCTACAGCGGCGCTCACCTGTAAAGATACTTCACAGAGGTGCTTTGGAACTAAAATCTCATCCCAAGCAGTGCCTCAATGGGCGAGGATCAAAGGACCAGGTGATCTCGGCCGGGAGGCGCTGAAAAAGCTGCAGAGGCTCCTGCATCCAAACCCAAGGCTGGATTGCATCCGAGTGGCTCTCACCACGCAAACAAGACCACTGCACTCTTTACCAATACCAAACACTCGCCCAGGGCCAAAAGGCAAGATTTTGTTCAAGTCTCTGCATTGTGCTCGCAGCCGTCCTGGATGGCGAATCCCGGGACTGTGGATGGTGTGTCAGCCTTGCAAGATAGAACAGTGCGCACAAAATCAGTGATGCCCAAGGATGCTCCGGTTCTGCTCCGGTTATAACCCAGCCTCGGTGGCAAGTGGATAGTTTTCCGGATCCTGATAGGTGCCGAACTTCCAAGAACCTGCGCACAAAGCACCATAAAGCAACACATGCACACCCTGGTTCACATCTTACCCCGCCACCCCGCCCCGGCCTGCAGCAACAGCATTTGGGGGATTGGTGCAGTAGAAGAGGAACGAGTAGGTGCCGGCAAGCAGCGCCCTGATTGAGCACTAGGCTCATTCCAAACACTCTGTCAAGTTCAAGTGTTTTGCCTCAGGCATACAGGTTCCTCTCTTGACTCTAGTGAGGATGATTATGCCAAGAGCGACCGCTGTAGGTCACCTTGAACTATAGCGGCAGACATTAAATGTCTGTGAGATGCGCTTTGACATTCTGATAGGGGTCAAAACAATGATCTGACAGTTTGCCTAGGATGCACTTGGCAAATTGAACAAAAGCCTTCCAGGGACCCGCATTATATCAAGAAAGCGATGCACTGCTTTAATTTATGGACAACCAACATGCACAAACATTTGGGATCTACAACTGCAACAAAGCTAGAGTCACCCGACATTCGTGACCAATGCACAGGCCTCGTGGACACAATGCGAAGGAGGAGTTCGCCCGAGAACAGGCTCTGAACAGAGCAAGTGTAGCCATCTGCACGCAGCAGGCCAAGCCATGTAAACACTCAAAACGAATGCTGACAAACAAATCCGCATGCAGCACTTTGTAGCTCACATGTTTCACACTTAACAGTGCGCAGGTCTGGCCAGTGGGGCTAGGGTTCTTCCTTCCCAACAATATGAGAAAAAGGGCTTCTCGTAAGTTTTGGGCGTGGCTCAGAGAGATCTTTGTCCATGTGTTAGTACCGGCGCCTCACAAGCACCTCCCGAACATCTGTTTGCACACGCATAGAGCCTTACGGGTTCTGTTAAACTTGCCTTGAAAAGGGCAGGTCCTGTGGGATGCTGTCTTCACAGAAATGGCGACGACTTCGGTCCAATTTCGTATGAAGCCAAACCGAGTAGGCTGGCTAGGCCCGGCATGAAGAGTTGTGAACAACAGCTCCGTTGAGATAATGTCTGGAGCCGGCCTGTTGTGCCAGGGCAGCTGCATTCCAAGCGCCTTGTTGCCAGGCCACCCTGCGAAGGTGATAACCATTTCCACAGTCTTGCAGGTTCATCACAGTTTCATATCACTGCTAATCACACTGACTACTCCTCCCAGAGAAAGCCTCGAAGATGAAACCTCCTCCTGCAAAAAGAGGGGTACTTATTGTCAGCTGAGCTCTGACCTTGGCATCATTTTCCAGAGCTTTCAAGCAGTCTGCTAGCACGGGACTTCAGAAGAACTCTGCCTTCGTGAAATCAAGAGTTTCCCCTAAAACAGGTACAAGCCACGCCGTGTCTTTCTCCAACTCGTCCCGTCACGTAGTCTACCCACGCGCCTCGCACCTAGACAGCATCTCCGTTGCAGGTTCAGTGCAGGTTGCAATTGCTGACAAGCTGCTGCACTCAGCTGAGGCCCCGGAAGCAAAACCTTGCATCATGCATGGCTTCAGAGTCTTAGGCTCTGCCACGGCACCGACATACCAAGCTATCTGTTTAGTTGCGCGTAAACGTCCTTGAGGTCTGGGAACACTGCGAGATGAGTAGCAGCTAGCAAATACAACGTTGAGGGATGTGGCTGACGTAGAGGGCCAAGCTCAGGTCTCAGAAACTTGCTCTGGGAAAGGAACTCCCAGTGGCCGCTGCCCGGCAGCAGTGGACCCAGTCCAGTTGCCTAGCTCCAGAAGGAAGTCGGCTCCTGGACATCTGCGCACGTGCTGTCATAGTCTCCATCATACACATTACTGCAGAAGCGCTGCAGCAAGTCCGGCTCAGTGCGAAAGAATCTCACGTTTTCTTGAAAAGCTAAAATTTCAGATGGCACGCGCAGATGAAAATTCGGGGAATTTTGTATTGATCACATCAATTCCAACAAGCTAAATTTCGCCGCTTCGTGTGTGAGCATGTTTCTCAAACATCTCAGATGGGGCCGCATGGATGTTTTGGAGGATCTCAGCTTGCTTTTGTCTGTTGCTGCGGTTTCTATCTTGACCCGTGTGAAATTTCGCTTCGTCAGTTCTCCTGTTGTCTTTTCAGATTCTGTCTAATGATTATGGTTTGTTCCGCCTAGTCCGAACACGTCCTGTCCCACGTGGAGTCCATATTGCCGGTCTGCCATGTTTATGGTTTTATTTTTCTGTTCTTTTGCTGCTCCCGCGTCTGCGTCTCCTTGTCTATCTCTATTTCTATGTGATTTGTGCCTATCTTCATTATTCTCCAGCTGCCTATCACGCTCTGTCTGTGTGTTTCTCTGGTTTGTCCCTATCTTCTCTTCTATGTTAGAACCAATGTATGTCACTCTCTTGTTTGGTGACTTCATGCCGAGCCGCCTCTGGCTGGTTTTGTTCAATTACTTCTTTATCAAGATGCCTCTACTGTCCTGGATTCTGCTGTACTGGCTTCGCACTGTCTTTCAGTGCCTAAAGCTAGCACAGTCATTATTATGGCTGAATCGATGTCCACATGCTTTCCTATTCCACTTCTGATCGTGTGCTCCATTACGAGACTGACCAATGTTAACCTCTGTTTCGATGAGAAAGATTGAGAAAGCTCTCTACAGGCCTGTAGTGGGCCATCTAGGCACTCGAAGAGGCGCACGGAAGCCATAAATCTCGCCGCTCACAAAGGCCAGTGGCCTCAGTCTTTGCAACATCTGAAACAAAGACAAAGGCCAGTGGAAGCCCAAGCAAGCTCAGGATGAGGACCATTCAAAACTCGCATGGAACTCTTGCAAGGACTCTTGCATCCAAGGAACGCTTCCCAAGAAAGGAAGATATTGTCAGACACAGTTGGCACAGCCTGCTGCATTGATCCTCTTCATGAAAAACTTTGCAAAGCACATTTTACCATCGAGTGACACGGCCAGGCAAGGCAGCTGTCGTGCCAAAGGGTGAGTCCTGTGCGCATTGATTCTGATCTCTGCAATCCTCTGTCGCTCGCTAGCTAGCAGAATCCTGCCAGAAGCCACTTGCCACAACTGCAGGTTCCCATATCCACCCCAGTGGAGCCGTCAGCCGCATGGGAATTGACAGGTCAAACCTCAAAGATCTGCGGCAGAAGTGTCATGTATAATGAAGGAGACGTTGCGGAATCCTGGCAGGTAAGACACCGGTAGCACGCGACAGCTGTGCAGTCGCTGCTGAACGGCTTGCTGGCAAGATGCGAAACTTGGATGGGAAGAACTGTGACATAAGCCGTGTTTAGCCTTGCGGACATGGCACGTGTGCTCAGTATGCCTTCTAAGCAGTATTGGTCTCCGGGAACATCTTTTCTAAACAGATGCCTGCGGTTTGCATTTTTACAGGGTTCTGCATTGGCAGCACCCCGCCAAGTAGCGGAGGCCCTCAATATACTCATCTGGCTAGTTTGGCACCGCCCCGTCACAACGTGCCCTTGGTAACTTAAAGGGGAATCTCACCAAAAGTTCACACCGCTACTTCGAAACGTCCGTTCTTCGATAGGTCTAGGAGTATTCCGGGGCCTTCAACAAAGTTAAGTGGGTCCACCTGGGGAGATAGGGTGAACAAGTTAGGCGGGCGCAATGCATGCCAAAGTAGGTCTAGGGTTTCGGTGGCCTCAAAAAAATTGAGACGGGCCTGCAAGTTTGGGATCAAGCTTTCGTGAACCTCATGCAAGAGAATCCGGACGCTTGGGATGGTGTGTACTTCAAACGAATGGGATACTTCGGCTAGAAATGTACTTTTCGTCTGGGAGGCGACATTGCCTGCCGCTGTGAGATGTGAGGATGGAGCTTCCAAGGCAGCAGCATACCAGGTTCAACCTACGTAGCTTTGAATTTGTAATGGATGTAATGGCCAAAATCTGCACGGTAAGACTTGAATTCACTGGCTTGTTTTCAGTGAAGGGAGTGTCCAAAGGGTGCGTTCAGGTTGAAGCGCAGCAAGGGGCGAGACTGAACAGTTCGCTGGCGCAACGGTAATAACAGCTGCCACACCAGACCAAGTTGTGTCTAAGATGTCTAGGGACTGCCCCTGAATGCTCTCCACAGGGTTGTGGCTACGGAGAGGCTGACCCTATCTGCAATTGCGTCAGATCAATGCCGGATCCAGCCAAGTCGCGTGACGTAAAAAGGTAGCAGCTCTCCTCTGAATGCACCGTGCTTGACTTACAGATGCAGCCGAGATGTTGCAAGGTCTAAGGACACGGCCGAATCGGAGGGTTGGAAGATTCAAAGCTGCAGAGGAAAGACCCCACATGTTGCCTTTATTCGAGGCAGCACACAAGCTTCCAACCTCGTCACAACGAACACGAAACGGCCTGGGCTGCCACGTGCAGAAGGATCAAGCCATGCGGCACCTCCTGTACTTTCCTGACAGCAGATTGACAAAAATGCAAATCACCTTGCCGCGAGGCCCAAATTGAAGGTGGTTGCTCTAGGCGCACATGCGCCTCCACTACCAGATCACTACTGTCTCGAGTCCTCACCACAATACAAAACAATACGTGTCTGTTGCAGTCTCCAAGACCAATCACAACAACAGGGCGAAACTCGATGTCCTGACCATCCACAGAAGTTGCTCCTTCCAGTCGTGATTGTCATCATCAGATGCCCATCTGCAAAAAACTGCTACTTGTGGAAGGCAAATGGAGAAACATCTATTTGCGCTATATCACTGCTCATAGTAACAGTCGGAAGAAGGCAATGGGCTGGAACCATGAGCTTCTTGCTTGAATCGCATGGCATGCAACTGGTGTCGACCAAGGATGTCCTCCTGCGTGCTCTGATCGGTCGGATTCTGCACCGCAATGCCGAAAGCGTACGACACCCCCTTCAAAGGCTCATGTCGCGTGCCGGGCATAACTTGAAAGCTTGCGGCAGGCATACAAAAAGCCTCCTGTATCGGACGCCCAAGCGAGATCTGCACCTCTGACAAATGCATGGAAGAAGCAGACACAGTACAGAACTGAGTCCTGTTGGAGAGCTTGTCAAGGGTATCCATACTCGAAATGGAGTTGAAACTGCGGGCTTTGAGCTTCCGGCAACCAAGTGAGACATTTGCGGCTTGAGCAGATCACAAGCACAACATGTAAAGCGCGCAGCTTGGCTCAAAAGCAATGTAGCGGCTTCATTATCGTGAAATGCTGCGAAAGGTCTGCACTACCACAACCCCACACAGGTTATGCTTCTGCCGCTTGGAGATGCTGAAGCTTGCGTGAGGCAAGTATATGTCTGTGACCAATGCGAATCTTTTGCAGCAGACTTCTGCCCATAATGTAACTGAGTCAAGTTCACGAAATTGGATCATACTCATGATTACGCCTACATCGAAAACTGTTGAGGTAGGACACCAGCCACATTCGAGACGTAGACTAGCTGTTAATTTCCAACGGGACGCATTGATGGAATGATGAAATCATTCTGCAGTCAACCAAAACAGAGGTCAAACTACCTTTGGGGCTTTTAATAAGTAATATATTTATTTACCTCTGCTAGCACATTAAATCTCAACAGCTTTGAATGTAAGTCATTTCCACTGGTAACGCTCTCTCGCTCTAGCCCCCAAAGGGGAATTCTTGAACCAGGTTTGAACATGTTTGACGAGAAAAAACTGATTGAAACCCAGGTTCAAGCCCGGGGTTCAAACTCCTTTTCAAACCTAGGACCCAGGCAAACCGGATTGGATCCAGAAATATAGCTTCAAATCTGCGCTTGAAACTCAGGCTTGAATCTCGGTTCAGGCATTTTTTCTGCCGACTTAAGTGCCAAAACTCTAGGTCAAACATCCAGATTCTAGAGCCCCACTGGGGTTCCAGAGCTGTTCCTTCCCTTCCAACTGGAGCCAGAAACCGGTTGTTTGAACCTGGGTTGCCCAAATTTTGACGGTTTGACGACTTCCAGCTTCAGCCCGGCAAAGGAAAGGAAGCTGAAGTCACATCCAACACGCAACCCAACTGCAGCTGAGACGATTGTTCCTACACAACTATGCAATGTGCAAACAAAGCCCCTGAGAGGGCAACGCGAGGCGGCGAATCCATGGAACTGCAGCCCTGCCAAGCTCCGAACATCGTACGCCAGCACAGCTTTGCAATTGCGTTGAAATTGCTTTGCAGGATGTATCGGCCCTTTTTGAGAGCAGCTTTGCCGGCAGCACTCAACCTTGGCTCGTGGCTTCCCATGCAATGCTGGCAGCATGAAACTGGCTCTTGCCCGGGAACTCCGCTGTCGGCCGCCGCCCTGGATGTTGACATTGCGCACACCTGGCTTTACCTGATCCAAAAATTGCGATTGCTGAAGGATCGTTCAAGATTCTCGTTCCTCGACTGAGCTTAGCTCGCGAACGAACTCACAAACGGCTTCCAGCTGCCTCGACTGCAGGTCGTTGCTTAGACATCGTGCATCGCAAGTTCCCCAGAGCCGAGGGGCGTTGCGGGAGTTTTGTGGCTGGGGTCGCTTCTGGTGGGTATTTCTGCTTGTTGCTAAAGTTACCAGCAGAAAGACCTGTAACGCTTTTTGTACTTGAGCCACACACAAGTTGAGTATCAACACCCCCCGCGCATCTTAGTGTCAACGG